CAGTAGGTCAAATGAGAGACGTGTTTCTCAAATTAGAACTTCAGAAAACCAAAGAAAAAACAATCTGAGGGTTTCCGAAAGACAAACAGAGCAACACCGCAGAACTCTCGAAAGACTCGGGTCTGAAATTAGGACCTTAAAAAACTTGAGGACAAACAAGATGCGTGACTACAAAAGGCAAACATTGGAAATCAGTCGTTCAAGTGACAAACGTGTTTCCCAAAGTAGAACTATGGAAAATCGAAGAACAAATGAGAGTCGTATTATGAAAAATCAAACAGGAGATAGGCGTAGAACACTCGAGAGACGTGATACTAAAACTAGGACTTCACAAAACTTGAAAGAAAACGATATGCATAGTTCTGAAAGGCAAACATTAGAATTTAGTAGATCAAATGAAAGACGTGTTTCTCAAATTAGAGCTTCGGAAGACGAAAGAAAACACAAACTGAATGTTTCTGAAAGAGATTCTAAGGAACATCGCAGAACGTTCCAAAGACGCGTGTTTCAAACTAGGAGTTTAGAAAACATGGGAACAGATAAGATTCATGATCCTGAATGGCAAACATTGGAATTAAGTCAGTCAAATGAGAGACGTCTTTCACATAGTAAAAATATAGAAAACGAAAGAAGAAGCGAGAGACGTATTGTGGACAGACAAACAGAGGAATACCGCAGAACACTCGAAAGAAGTGAGTTTCAAACTAAGAGCTTAGGAAACTTGAGAACAGATAAAATTCACGATCTCCAAAGGCAAACACTGGATTTCAGTAGGTTAAATGAGAGATGTGTTTCTCAAACTCGAACTTCACGAAACAGAAGAAAAAACGAACTGAGTGTTTCTGAAAAACAACCAGGGGAATACCACAGAACACTCGAAAGATGTGTGTCTGAAATTGGAACATTAAAAAACTTGAGAACAAATAAGATTCATGATCCTGAAAGGCAAACATTCGATGTCAATATGTTAAATGAGAGACACGTTTCTCATATTAGAACTTTGGAAAACCATAGAATGAACGATCTTAGTGTTTCTGAAAGAGAAACAGCGGAACGCCGTAAAACACCTGAAAGAGTGGAGACTGAGTCTAGGACTTTAGCATATATGAGAATAAACAAGAGGTATGATTCTGATAAGCGTGTATTGGGCTACAGTAGAACAAATGCGAGACATACTTCTCAAATTCGAGGTGGGGAAAACGGAAGAATAAACGAGATGCGTGATTTGCAAAAGCGAGCAAGTGAACTACAAACTAGAATTAAAATACGTGACACTCAAACTAGGTCTTTAGAACACCATAGAATAAATGAAGGGCAAGATTCAAAACTGCAAACTTTTCAACACGACAGTACAAACAAAAGACGTAATTTACATCGTGGACTTTTTCCGAACGAACGAAAAGTAACTTTACATGTTTCTTGATCTTCGACTTTCTAAAGCTCTGATTTCCGAATGATGTATTTCACTGTTATCACAGGTTTTGAAACACAGCCTTCCAAATTCCCGCCTATCGTTTATTTTTCTTACTTTTAAAGCTCTAGTTTGACAGCCATACTTCTCGCTTACCCTCCGGCTTTCCCGAGTCTTAGTTACCGAATTAAATCTTTTACTACTAACTCGATTTTCCAAATCTCGCCAACGCGTTTCGGTTATTTCTCGAAGTTCCAAAGCTCTTGTCCTAGAGTCATACCTCTCATTCTTCCTTCGATCTTCGAGACCTCGAATGTTAAATCTACTTGACTTGTACAATATATAAGTTTTCACAGCTGTACTTTCAGAATGACGGCTATCTGACAGTGATATAATTTCCAGAGATCTAGTTTCAATACTGCGCCTATCGTTTGTCGTTTGTCGTTCCGAATCCCATCTTTCTGTAGTTCTTCTATTTTTCCAGGCCTTCGTTTCATACATACCTCTCTCTGCATTTCTTATGATTTTAAGAGACCTGACCTCATAATCTTCCAGTTCAGTTTTAAATCGGTTTTTTAAGGTCCTAGTTTGAAAGTATTTTCTGTCTTCTAATGTTCGTCTGTCAGAATAACGCTTGTCAGCTATTCTACGATTTTCCAAAGTTCTAATTTCAAAGTCGCCACTCACAGTTCTTTGTCGGATTTCAATAGGTTGGTTTTGATAATTACGCTCTTTCTCTATTCTCTGTTGTTTCATATATTCTCTTTGAGGAATTTGATGTTGCTGCAAGACCCTGATTTCAAATTCTGTCATTGCAATTTGTCGGTTATTTAAAGGCCCAATTTTATTATCATTGCGTATTTTATTGGATTTTCGATTTTCCAGTCTACTTGCTTGGGATTTGTGTTCATTGATTATCCCTTGGACTTTTATAGCTCGACTTTCGTATTTTGGCATCAGTTTTCGCGAATGTTGTGAATATGTTGTTTTAAGATGACGTGTTTCATCATTGTTTCTGTATTCTATTAATTCGTTCTTAGGATTAGATCGCAAGTTGGTTCTTCGATTTTTGAAAACCCTGGTTTCAGAGGTAGGCATCACAAATGTCCTTTGGTTTTCAACAAATCTATTTTTGGAGTTACATCTTGTATTTTTTCTGTACTGTTTCAGATCTTGACTTTCAGATTCCTGACTGTTAGCTAATCTTCCAATTGCTTTATTGTTAGTGTTGAACCTGTCATTTGAATAACGACTTTTTAAATTTCGTATTTCAGGTATATTTATTGTTCTAACGTTGTTTATAGAATTAGTTTCAGTATAACTTCTCTTACCTGTTCTTGTAAAATGTTGTAAAGTTCTTAATTCTAGGTTACGTTTTTCATTTCGTCGGTTTTTCGAAGTTTGACTTTCCGTAGTTTTTCCATTATCTAAATCTTTCACCTGGGAGTTATCTCTTGTTATCCTGAAATGATAGCTAATGTAAATCGTAGAACGTTTGTGACAAACGCACCTGAAGAGCTAATTGTAGAAGACAGTAGGACTGCTAACAGTAGAAGCTTTGAAAATCGAGACAAACGCACCTGAAGAGCTAATTGTAGAAGACAGTAGGACTGCTAACAGTAGAAGCTTCGAAAATCGAAGAAGAGTTGTAAATAATCATGACCTTACGAGAAATGCTTTTGAGAATAAAAGAAGCGCAAAGGAGTTTGGATTTTCGAAGCAAAGGAGAACTGTATATAACCTCAGACTTCCAGCCGATGAAATTAACAGAAATCTTTTATTACATAAACCACTTGATTTGTCTGCAAAGGTAGGAATAAGATTTAACGGCACTAAATCTAGCACTAAGACAGATAATTATACTAGTTGATTATTACAAAATATTTAAGTTACTCTTATTTATCAATAGTTTTTTCCAGTTATATAAGTACACTGTACTGTCTTCTTTTAACTTTTAAGACGAGTTTAGACCTAATACGCTATCCATTATAACTAATCCTTAGAAAATAGTATTGTTATCAGTTCACCACAGATCAATATTCGTTTACTATGGATATTTTAGTAGTAAATCTTCCAAAAGTATTGTAGTTCCTAGTGTTTACCCTTTAATTAATAAACAACACTATGTTCACACTAATCACTATGTAATTAATTAAAAATGGATATTGTACCATTTCATTCTCACAAAAATCACAGTTACTGTAGTATACACTATTAATCAATATGTGATCAATTATGATGAATATTGTATCATTTAATTCTCAGAAAACATCAGTTACCAAGTAGTGGTCAATATGCAATTAATTAAGATGAATATTATAATAACTGACATTTAGAAAGACTCGGAATTACTACTGAATAGTGTTGATTGATATCTTTAGCAGAACAAAGTTAAGATTCTGTACTTCCAAGTGATAACAAAAACAGCTAACATTTCTCAAACTTCTCTGATGAAATGACCTTAAGCTTCTACTTTTTCGAATTATCGAATTTTTCGATTTTTTTTTTTTTTTTTACAGTAGTGCTACAATACAAGAAAAGATTTCGCGTTGAGGTTGATGATGTAGTCAACACACGATCACTTGACTTGTAGACGTCGCTTGTGAATGTTATTATCTGTATTATTGAATTAACACTGAGTTCCGGAGTAGCTTCCTATGGCAGGAAACCTTAGCAACGTTACACGGTATTTTATGTAACCTTTATGATCATCACTATCTTTTCTAATCCAATTTGCGCCAGCTTATTAGTGTTTTGTACAGCAAACCGAAGAGTATTGGGAAAATATTTAAATATTCAACTTTAACTTCAACCGGGATTGTTACTTACTATAACCAGTCGTGAAATACCAAAATATTGCATAAGACATGTTTGTTTTTAAATAAACCTAAACACTGAGATTCCGCAAAAAAAGCTCCGTCACAAATGTAAAAAAATAAACTTTTTATGTCATATGAATTTTAATTATTAAATTATTATCATGGTGTGTATGTGTTTTCTTATAGCAAAGCCACATTCGACTACCTGCTGTGTCCACCGAGGGGAATCGAACCCCTGATTTGAGCGTTGTAAATCCGAAGACTTACCGCTGTCCCACCGGGGGACATTATCATGGAAATATGTGCGTCATTCGCACACTCATAGCTTCAAATAGGATGTAAACTATGTATTTGTTAACCATTTTATGTAGTATATGAAAAATGCAGGTTAATAATAAGGGACTCTGATATAAGTTTCGTTAAAAAATAGAGCTGCCCAACTTTTAGATTGGGATTACCTATAGCATTTCAAGCCACCGAGGACGTCTTACATTACCTAATACTTAGAAGAAAGATGTTAAATAATACAAGAGTGAATTGCGTGAAAGCTTGGTTCAATCAATTATATATATACATAGATATCTTCAAGTAAAATTATGGAATTTGTTACTCGTAACAACAGTAGCCCAGACATGCGTTAGCACATTGGTAGATTAAACATTTTTAAGCAAAGCGTTTTAGTGTTCTTTCAATTAAATCCATTTTTTGCCATGCAAATTTAAACCGGTATGTTATGTATACAAATGTTTAGTTTGCTCATATTTTTGGTAAATCTTTTAAAATTGTATTTATAATTTCTGTTTTTTTTTAAAGGAAGGTATGCTGTTGCATGTACATTTTAGAAGAAAGAAAAACGAACATAGGACTTAACATGAAATATCGTTTATCTGAAAAAGTTATATATATATATATTGTTCTTTACATGTTCGTTTTGAACATTTCACGCAAAGCTACACAAGGGCTGCTCATAGCCGTCCCTAATTTTAAACTGATAGATAGCGAGTAAACAGTATCCACAGCCAGCTTTTGGGATGGTTTCTTACCTGATCGAATAGTAGGATTGACCGTAAAAGAGTACACGTTTTTGTGGCAACAGGACGCTAACCATGAACCCTCGGATTTACAGTCCATGAACACTAACCACTAGGCCTCATCATATGTTTCTCTTTGGCATTGTTATGGGACATTACGTTTAATGGAAGTTAATAATTCGATGCATGGTTTGTTTGTTTGTTTGTAATTACGCACAAAGCTACACAATGGGCTATCTGTGCTCTGCCCACCACGGGTATCGAAACCCGGTATCTAGCGTTGTAAGTCCGCAGACATACCGCTGTGCTACTGGGGGGCTCGCTGCATGGAAAAGTTTGTTAGTGGTTTTATATTGTAATGCATTTTTGGCTGAACGATAATTCTGCAGGCTCACGACATTAAATATCCGGTTTCGATATCCGTGATGGGCAGATCACAGGTAGCCCATTATGTAGCTTTAACCTTAATAACAACCAAATAAACCAACAATTGTTTGGAAGAGAGACAAAACTTTGAGAGCAAACGAAGTAAATCGTGGACTTGTTGTAATTTTTAACAGTTGTTTTGGCACGTGAATATCTTTAGCCCATGAAATGAAAGTGTTACAAAAACTTTTAAAACATTACCTTTGGTTTAACAACCCAACTTTCGTACACTCTCCAGCCTTCAGTTTTTCTATATATTTCGTCATTTAATATCTATTATACGAATATTTGGAAACTCAAAATAAAAAAAGGTTCAATATGTCAAATGTTTCTTTTATGGTATAAATGGATAAGAATCTAAAAAAACAATAAAAAATATTTTTAATGACCAGAAACAAGAGTTTTAATATTTTCGGTAGATCGTAATCATGGGTTTCCGCGGGGGGGGGGGCATAATTCTTTCTTTATTCATTCGGAATATGTATATGATTTTTTTATTTAATTCACAATTTCCAACTACCTTGCCCCCTCCCCCCTGGAAAACTTTCTGCGGACGCCCATGATCGTCATATCTATGTGGGTTTTACTTTAATTATATTCTATCAAAATTATTTCTTCACTATCTTCCAATTTACTTTCCAGCGGAACCACTCTATATGAAAAACGATAGTTAGCCTTCTCAATATTCCGTTTTACCCACAATTCCTTAGTGCATACGATTCATCCAACCCAAATATCAAAACATACGACAAAAAGTACGTGTACCGAAAAAGTACAGGTCTGGCCGAAGATGAAACCCTATAACGCTGGCTTTTCTGCAACGCTATAGCTTATCTCACTAATCAGCTAGTGCTGATGTCAGGAAAATGACATTAGCTAAACATATTGCGTTTGAAAACCAGTATATAAAGACAGGCCAACCTAGAAAACACAACTTGAATTCACTAGTGCTATTAGAATAAAGTAAAACGGCAGCCCAATGATTCCCCTACTGTCTCTCTTTTACATTGTTGCTGTCAAGGTCTTCAAAAAAACCGCCCCTAATGGTAAAATTACTGTTTACCTCGGCAAACGTGACTTTGGAGATCATGGAAGCTACTGTGAACCGGTTGAAGGCGTTCTTTTAGTGGACAATGAGTATCTCAAGGGAAGAAAGGTTTTTGGACAAGTGACCACCACCTTCAGGTATGGACGAGAAGAGGACGAAGTTATGGGTCTCCACTTCAGCCGACAACTTTACTTAGCCCTAGAACAAGTTTTCCCTACGAAAAAAAATGAAGCACCTTCCGATTTCCAAAATCGTCTAGTACGTAAGTTGGGAACGTTAGCTCACCCATTTACTTTTGCTCTGCCAGAAAATGCCCCGCCCTCTGTTACTCTTCAACCAGGATCCGAGGATCAAGGACGACCTCTCGGTGTGGAATACGAATTGAAGTTATTTATTGCCGAAACTGAAGACGAAAAGCCTCACAAACGTAATTCCGTTTCCATGGCTATTCGTAAACTTCAGTATGCTAAACCAAGTCCTTTAGCTAAACAGCCTAGCGCTCTGGTCAGTAAAGGTTTTATGATGAGCTCTGGCAAATTGCAGTTGGAAGTGACCCTCGACAAAGAACTTTATTTTCACGGAGATAAGGTGAGTGCTAACGTTACTATTTCTAACTACTCCAAGAAAACAGTAAAGAACATTAAAGTTGCTGTGGTCCAGAACACAGAGGTCACCATGGTTAACGGCCACTTTCATAAGACCATAAGCAGTATCGAATCTAAGGAAGGATGCCCAATAACACCAGGAGCAACATTGTCCAAAGTGTATACTCTACTGCCTCTGGCTTCCCAGAATAAAGACAAACGAGGAATTGCTCTTGATGGAATGCTCAAAGAAGGAGACACTAACTTGGCCTCTTCCACTCTTAACTCTACTGGAGATGCTATAGGCATTGTCATATCGTATGTCATAAGAGTTCGTCTCTACATGGGTGCCATCGGAGGAGAGCTTGTTGCCGATGTTTCCTTCAAACTAGCCAACCCTGAGCCTGTCCCTGTGGTCCCTGGTAGCCAAGAAAGTAAAGCACAGCAGGAAAAAGCAAGAATGAAGAAGCAATTGAGCAGGGAAATGAGTACTGACTTGATTGTTGAAGATTTTGCCAGAAGACGTCAGTTCAGTGAAGATAACGAATGATGATACTTTACATTAACTAATTATTTACTTCTTTTCTCATAACATATATATATTATATGGAGAGAAATAGATTTTCTTCCTTCAATTACTGTAGGTAAATTGAAAAGTTAATACTCTAATCTTTCTTTTAGTTAAGGATGAAATGTTGTAATATTTACTAACAAGATGACTATTAACGTATAATTCATTGCATGATTAAGAATAGTTGATAAATTAATCAATTTAGACTTAGGAGATGTTATAAGTTTAAATTTTAACTAGCGTAAAACTTTTGAAAGATTTTATATTTTCTTGAATTTCACTGAATGATAACATTTATTTAAATACGGATATTAGAAAAAATCAATAACTTCAGAGATATGAAAGGATTGTAAATGTTATTTATATTCATATAAGAAAAATAAAGGAGAATTGATGTCCATGTTGTGCCTATAACTTAGATCCACGATAACAACCTCATTGAAGCTGGCAATATCTTTATAAAACACGTCCTCGCAACAGATGAAATAATCCTATTTGAATAATAGTCCAATAATAACCATAAATATGTTTAAAGAAGCCTGAGAAAGGAACACGTTTACTGAAGAAAATGAATCTTTTTTTTTTGTCTATATAAACTTGGTAAGTTAATTTTTCTATTGTTAATAAAATTGTGCTGTCTTCACAGGATTGTGTACGTGCTTGAATTCGAATTAAAACACACACACACATATATAATCTTAAGCTGGAATAGCTAAAAATACATTTCATCTTGACATTGGTTAATTGTGTGATCAAATGATGACGGTAAGAGGAAACCAAGAATACTTGGGCTCTCCTTCTCAATAACGATTATGCAATGTGAAGAACTGAATAGTGGCCAATGACACCTTTTCTTCACTTCACCTATCCAGTGTATAGGTTTTTCTCATATTGACTACAAAGTACGTTCACATCAACAGTATGGTTGATATTTTCACTATGATATAGGTCCAGCTTGTCTCTCTTTGGTTAACTTGTGTTCAGGGTTACGGCTGGAGAATGAATTTTCCGAAACTAGAATAATCCAATAACAAACGTTGATCAAAGTGTATATTGGACTGGACCTCCCTTGAAGTTAGGCTTCGAGATTAAACAACTTTCGGAATATTAAGTTTATTTATTATATATCTATTATTGTGCGGATATATAATGTGAAGAACTGAATAGTGGCCAATGACCCTTTTTCTTCACTTCACGATGAATTAATTTTACATTCATTCTCCAGTACTGTAAATGAGGCCAGAGTATTCTTAAAAGTTATTGTATGTAGATATGTTAATTGGTAAGGAATGATATTACATAATTGGTCAGAAGATGAGGAGTTGATAGCAAGAGAAAAGTATAAGTTTGAGGAAGATGAAGGAAAGGAAGATGAAGAAAATTCATTAGCCATATGAAATTAATAATAAAGTGAATATTTTAGTTATAATATCTTAAAAGGCGAAAAGTGATATCAATATATAATATCATATGTTATCTCCTCAAAATGTTCTGTAAGATATATATTCTTAGTAACCTACCGAAAGAAAAGAATGTTTTTGTTTTTTTTAGTTTACTCCTATGGATTACAATCCCTTATCATTAGCTCTAGACTAATTTGAAGCAATATCTTATATTGGAAAAAAAGGGGCAATGACAAGTAATGCATATAGCAACGTTATATTGAAGTATTGTGAAATTCCTTTAGCATCAGTTACTGTCTTCTGTATACTGTTACACATTTAGACTATCTAATGATGAGAAATGAGATTAAAACACAGAAATTAAACATTTTACTTAGACCAGATTCATTAAGCTTTAAATATTTTATTTCAGTCAGAATTTTAAAAACAATTAAAGTGGAAAGTTATAACCAACGCAATTTCTTTGTGGAGCAGGAAAAACAAAACAAACACTTGAATTTCATTCTTATAGCTCAATGTATAACTTTACAAATACACAAAATAGTGATAAATAAATGACTTGAAAGTTGATAAAGATATTTTATTTCTACGTGAATGCCAAATCAAGAACTTCAATACGTACTGACAGTTTAAATTACTAATAGCGATTATTACTTTTTACATATATTAAATGTGTAAATAATCACTAATTAAAGCTCTCACTTCAATATCAAATATGTTCATGCATATAAATCAATAAATAGTTTTGTCTTGCTTTTATTTCGTGTATCATGCATGGCTTTTTTTACTATAATAAGCATTCACTACGTACATAAAACCAATCTATGTTTCTAGCTGTACAACATGTAAACAAGATCAGTCAACACTGCTGTATTTTAAAACAAATTGACCGTTTAAGATTAATAAATAAGACAAGTTAACTTCTATTTCGGTATATTACAATTCGAATGACTTCATATTTGGTCGCAATCCAACACTGGCAAATAAGATCACTGTGGTCACTACTCCAGGTGAACTTAGCAAGGTCCAGCTTCGATGTTTCATCCTATTGATAAATACAACAAAACGGATGAATAAAATGATAAAAACAAACTTACTATTTAGCCTTTGTAATTTGGAAAAGTTGGTCATTTAGCATATTTCAAGTTTCTTCTCATTACAGTCATAGATACTACCACAAAACCTTAATTATCGTGATGTAAGAACACGACTAAGCTGAAATTATGAAGTCAGCTTCTTATTACAGTGTCATTATAGAACCAATCAGTCATAAGAAACTTCTATCTCTAATTAACAGTAACTATAAGACTTGCTTTAAAGAATGAAGGTTATTTGCCAAAACTGAAATGTTTTCATTATACTGAAAGCTCTTACAACTCGTTAGTCATTGCATAAGTTAGAAAAGAACGTTTTGTTTTGCTCTTCATCCACTGTCTACCTTAAATATATAGATTTGGAATGAGGTAAATGATTTCAAGTTTATAGCATTCCCACACTACACTCGAAAACTCCATTACAGATATTTTTAAAACTTATTTTATTATTAATACAAAATAGAGTATAGTCTGATGTGAAGTAAAAACCCTCATACTTTGAGAATATTGGCCCTTCATCTTGATCTGCATGAACAGTTGACAGAATTTTGGTGTTGGATTTTTCACTGCCTGAAATTAACAGCTGAAATGCCTGAAATAAAAATATATTTTCAGTTAGGAATTATTTGTAAACAGCTTTACTTTCTCTTGAAACTTCTGTTGATTATATTTTTAGGAGTCATACCTTGGTTTTAAAATTTATTCATAAAATAAAATGTATTGCCACTTCAAAAAAAAACACCCTGGGTATACCACATTACTAAATGCAACAAATGTAGAAAAAATCCTTAAAACATCGGTCAATTATGTAATACGTTTTTGGTAAGGTAAAGACTTTAATGTATGGAATATCAAATATGTTAGCTAGCAACTCCTCAACTTTAATTAAATGAGTCAATGTATAAACTTGAAACTTCATTAACAAACTTTTATATTACTAGTGAACACTAACAACTACATTATATTCTAAGATTTAACTAGTACTATATATATCTTAATGATAAATTAAATACTGAAGATAGCTAAAGGTAACTTAAATATTTTGTAATAATCAACTAGTATAATTATCTGTCTTAATGCTAGATTGATTACTAGTGAACACTAACAACTACATTATATTCTAAGGATTAACTAGC